TGCGCCTGAAACTCTATGTTTGCCACCCCGAAGAGAGATTTTTGCCCTCCCGGCAATTAATTTTGCACCCTCGGACGAAAAAAAGCTGGATAAAACGCTGCACACCCACACCCGTACTCTCACCCACAGCAACCCACACCCTTTTGGGTATGCGGTATCAGAACTTTCTCCCCTTGTATTAATGATCTATAACTAAAACGATATTATCATACTTAGATTAGACCAACCAGATTCGAGATCCGTATCATAATCTTGTGGAATTGTATTTGCACGAGATGAATCTAAATCAAGAATAAGTGTTCGTCCTTGTAATGGACCATTAATTGCCTAAAAAATAAATTATATGAACTGTTTTAAATAAATCATAACTATTACAGTTAGGACATTTGAAGTACATTGAGCTATTTGACTAGCTGCAGTTTGAACATCTTCATATGAAGTTTGTGTTGACATTGTATATAGAGCTTGAGCTAATTGATAACATTTATTTGATGCAATTGTCTATTTGTTCATAGAAATAAAAATATTTATAAAAAAATTAAAATTAAATCTTATTACTGCAGAGGATCGTGTTAATTGATTTGTTGATTGAGTGAGTTGAGTCAATGTTGATGCTTGTAATATAATACTGTCTGATGTAGAAATTACAAGATTTGTGATGAAAGACATTAAATAGTCACGAAGATTTGCATATAAATTTAATTGTTTTTTGTATTCAATCAGAGCCGATTCATTGAATGGTACAGTGGGCTATGTATCAAGAAAACAATTAAAAAAAATCTATTAAATAAATAAAAACTCACTACTGGTAAAGTTTGAGTTCCTAATGGAGAAATAGAAATACTTGTAGCAGAAATTCCATCTATATACAAAAAAAACTATTTTTGAATTATGAAAAGAGAATTCTTTACTAGAAATCGCATTTTGTAAAGCATCTGCATTGATTTTATTAAGTTGTTGTGAAAGTGAACTAAGAATTTGTCCAACAGTATTTTGATTACCAGTTGAAAGTAATTGAATAATTGGATTATTTATTAATAAGCCTGTAGTAGGACTTTGTAATGCATTGATTAAATTCGTAATATCCGATGAATCTGTAGTAACAATAATTGAACTTATATTAAATTCAGTAATACAATCAAATGTATCACTAATATAAATAAAAAGATTAACTATTGATATATTATCATTTTGAGAAGATAATCGAACTTGAAATCTAGATAGTGTACTAAAAGCAATCATTACTTTTTTTGAACGATCTGTTGAATAACCTAGAAATAAGAATTTCATTTAGATAACAATTTATATTAAGAAAATTTTTGTTGTATACTATATAATGAATAATCTTGAATTCCATCTTCATCAAGCCAGTCTGGACATGAAATAGTAAATAAAGTACTTGTTGTACCATTTTGAGGACTAATTGAACAAGAACCATTTTGAGGAGGTTGATTAATAACAAAATTTAATGCACTTGAAGTTTTTAGTGATGGAAATGAATAAACAACTTCAAATCGCCAATAAAAAATATTTGGATTATTAATAAATAATTGATTTAATGCTGTGAAATTACTTGTATTTGTACCTATAATGACCAATATATTAAATATTATAAACGAAATGAAAAAGGTCGTTACCATAAAGCCAATTATTTTCATATTGAATCGAATGATTAAGTGATACCCATTGAACAGTTGATAAACTTGCATTAAAACCTTGATAAATATTCCATGTAATATTTATTAGAGATGAACAATTTCCGATACAAATAGAATATAAAGCAACTTGAGTTGTTGGATTTAAAAGTTGAAATTCTATATTTGGTACACACATTGTTGATATAACACAACTAGATTAAGATTTAAAAAGATATAAAAATTTTAGAGAAAAAAAAAGGAAGGACTCACGCAATTACGATCATTTGAGGTTGAGTATCAACAACATTAACAAGTACATAACCAGTGGTTTGAATTAAAGAATTTTGACGATTTTCCATATAGACCATAAATTGATATGTTCGATTTGATAAAAGTGAATCAGAAAGAATTGTTACTGATGATTTTAATGAATCATTGGCTCCATTATATTGCCATGATTTTCTATTATCTTGATGAAGAAACAAAACAACAGTAATAAAGGAGAAAATGAGTAATTCAATTAATACCTGTTCGATTTAATATACATGCTGGATTTAACGGATCAATTCTGCGATCATCAATTGGTAATAATGTACCTTGAATATTGGGAAAATTGTAAAGACCATAAATTCGACAATAATATTCATAAGTCCAATCCTGAAAAATAAGAAACATGTCAAATGTATTCATATGAAAATAACTTACAGATGCATTGAAGGAAAGTCCATTAGGATCAACGGAAAATGTTCCTGGATCGAATGATAAATCTTGTTGATGTCCGCGTGTAATCATCGAAGTTCCAAATTGAACAAGATTTGCTGTAATACCTGATGGATTAATTTGAATGTAAACAGAAGCTGATGAAATTTCATTTGATGATGCAACTATGGTAACCGTCAGTGTTAATTCATAAATACCATACGATAAAGTTCTAGCTGGAATATAAAGTTCACTTATTGTTGTTGGAATTGTTTGATCAATTTGAATTTCAGAAGAACAATCAGTTGAACTACAATTGTTGATTGTCCATTGAAGGATTGTTGAAAGTGAAGTATTACAATTGAGTTTAATATTTGAACTGATATAAAAATCTTGATTTCGTCGGAATTGTTCTGGTGCTAACAATGTCGATCTTCCAGGAATTAATGTGATTGTAGCTGGAGAACAGTCTAAAGAAAAATCAAAATGTTTATATTATCTTTTCTCTTATATTATATTACCTTGATTTACTACAGGTATTTGTAACATCCGAGGCGATATCAGAATTGTACTTGTAGAAGATTGTTCTACAAAAGAATACCACATTTTAATTCATTACAAATTTATTTTTATTAACAAACCTTCTATAAACGGTGTTGTAGTTTGATTAATAGTTGTTTGTACGTATTTAGTTGTCTCCATCATGGTTGTACTTTCCTTTTCAATATTTGTAGTGGTACGTGCATCCTCGATAGTTGTTTCTACTGGATAGCTAGTTTTTTGATCGGCATTCGTAGTCGGTTGTATACTATCAGTACTCTCTTGTATGATTTGAGTAGTCGATTGTATACTATCAGTAGTCTCTTGCATGAGCTTTGTAGTTGGTTGTATGCCATACGTAGTGCCTTGGTTGGAATCCTTAGTTGATTGTGCACTATCTGTGGTCTCTTCTAGGATCTCCGTAGTTGATTCTACGCTGGACGTAGTGTCTTGAGCAGCATTCGTAGTTGATTGTACATTATCAGTGGTCTCTTGCGCGATCTCTGTAGTTGATTGTACACCGTATGTGGTGTCTTGATCGGCATTCGTAGTTTGTTGTATACTGTCAGTAGTCACTTGCATGATCGTTGTAGTTGATTGTACACTGGACGTAGTGTCTTGATCGGTATTCGTAGTTGATTGTATATTATCACTGGTCTCTTCTAGGATCTCTGTAGTTGTATGTATGCCATACGTGGTGTCTTGAACGGCATTCGCAGTTGATTGTGCACTATCGGTGGTCTCTTCA